TTGCCGCCGTTCCGCCAAGCGGGAACCCGCTCCCTCCCTCCCACGCTCCCCTCGCTCCCCCAGTTTGGGGGAGCATCTCCCCCAGGGGCAGCTTCCTCGGCGCGCTCGCGGCTCTCCGGAGAAGAGGCGCCCGCGGGGCCTCCGCACGAGGGAGAGGCATTGGCGCGCTGCCGCTCCGGCTCCGAAGACTGACTCGGCGCACCTTTGGGCGGCCTTGTCTGCGGTGGCGGCGGCGGCGCCGGCGCCTGGGTTCTCGGGCGGGGCGGGGGTCCTGTAAGCTTCCGCTCTCCGGGCTGCAAACCGAGCTTCGGTCCCCCGGCAGGAAGCCTCGCTGCACGCAGGAAGATTTACTGCAGAGGAAGGGCGCGCAGGTGTGAGTTGTAAAAATGTTTGCAGCTGCGGGCTGGAGAGGGAAGAGCGCGTCGGTCCCGGAGGCTGAGATATTCCAGCAGATCTGGTTCTCGAAAGGGGCTTCTAAGCTTGCCACCATGATTTAACCCTTGTCGTATTTTGCTTGGCTTGCTCGACTTTATTCTCTGACTCCCCACCCCTTCGAAAATTTGCTTCTGCAGATCAGCCATAATGCTGGTTTTTATCCCATTTCAGATGAAGAGCTAGGAGCTAGATCACGGGACTGCCACTTTACCCCAAGCACAATGCAAGGTGCAGATCTCCCACTTTCTCCCCATCCTAAAGTTTGAAGCTGGGGAGCCCCTGGGGGCTTCCAAGATTCTTCTGATACCTTGGAAATGAATACAGTATAAACAAAGCCCTACCTGTGAGATTGATTGAATTTTCATCCCGTCTTTCTGCTGATGCACAAAACATGATAATGAAAACAAAAATAACACTATACAGATACATGAAAACTTAACAAAAACTAGTGCCCGTACCTGAACGTGCCCAAGTGTGTTCATCTGCTGATGATTTAATGGACATGGATATGTTATTTTTGGGGGGGGGGGAATGCCATGAAAATGCTTGCCTGTTCTGAGATATGTATATATTTTAACTTTCCAATCTGACCTACAGACTTGGTACTTCTGATGGTTCCTGATCTAAGTGCTAACCAGGTTCAACCTTGCCTAGCTTTTCATGTTGCTACTAGCAAAAATTCACTTACAACTTCCAAAGCTCAGTATGCTTTGGACCTCTTTACCAAGGAAACCAACATAGTTCCTTCCCTGTTATTCTTTCATTTTCAGGCAAAAATGTATTTAGTTAGGCAAACATTTGGTTTATAGCAGCCAAAATCCACTTGCCTGGCTTCTGTTATAAGGAAGTCAAAGGACACAGTTTCAGAGACTCTCAGAGGTTTCTCCAAAGCGTGCAGTGACAGTAGTCCACCTTGCCAAACTGTGCAGCTTTGTCAGCTCAAATCATCCATAGGATGAAGGAGGGATGGGAGAAAATAGAGTGAAACAAGTTTGTCAACCCATGTCCTTATAAGACTGTAGTTTATATGGACTAAAATTGGCCTTCATGGCTTGTGGAGTCCTTGGGCATCTCTGAGCTTGGTTCTTTTCTTGCAAACGTTCAACCCTGAGCTACACATATTCTCCTCTATTGGTACCTTCACGACTTATCACCCATTAGTCTAAATGCAGGGTGTCTGTCTTATATGGTATTCTCTGGGAGCTTGTAAGTCAGTGACCTTATAAAATGTTTCTGTGAGTTAGAAGCCATAGTAAAGTTGCTTACACCTGGTTCAGTTTTACATGATATAAAAATAACTACCTTGCCAAGCTTGTGTCCTATCAGTAGATTGAATATGGGAATTTTGAACCAGAGTTCACATAATTCTTCTCTCCTGTTCCTCTTGCTCTGGGGCTTTCTTGTTCAACCATTCTCATGCAACAACACATTAACTATCAGGTTCCCATGATGTGATAAGTTGTCCTACAGAATCCATGGCAAATATCAAAGACCTTGCCTTCTACCCTAATGAAAGCAACATTCTAATTATAATCTAATGTCATAAAAGCTGTGCAGTTAAAAATGAAACATGATATTTTAAAAACATCTGTAGGATCAATATGAAATAAGGCTTTTCTTAAAAAAAAAAAACTGTATATCACATTCAGTGGCTTAGTTAATAATTTGATTTTCAAACTGTGTTTTAGGGAATCTTGCCATTCTTAGAGTTCTTCACAGGGACCAGAAAAAAGTAGGCTATCCTTCCTTAAAAGTAGCTTACTTACTGCTCTTTATCTTTCCTTACTACATGCATCAGCAGAAGGTTACGTGTCTAAGTAAATTCACAAGTGAAAATTAGGGCACTATAGGTCTACTCCACTGGAGAAGCATGGCTGTTGGAGAATCCCTGCAACATGCAGAGATTCAGTGACAGACAAGGTGATGGGAAAATAACCTCCTTACCTCAGGGTGGGCAATGTTTTTGGCTTGGGGGTTGCAGATATGTGGCCAGTGATGTCACAGAAATGGGCAGGGTTGAAATACTTTGGCCTTGATTTTTTAAAGGTTTGTTTTGTTTTGTGTTTTTAGCATTCTTGAGTAGCAGTTAAGGGGCAAGGTTTAAGACACCCATTTTACCCCTAAAACCTCCCATGTGACAAATAGGCCTGGTTTGGGGAGATAGGGTACATTTCGCCTGTTAAATTTCTTCCTGTAGCCTCAACCAGTCAAAAGAGTTGACCCCTGTTTATTCTGCCAGGGTCCTGAGAGCCACAGATGAAGTGCTGTGGACTGGGGTTGCCCACTTCATCTGTTATAGTAGAAAGATTCAAAAACTACTTCTCTAATATTATATCAACTTTCCCCAACCTTGATGCTTTTATGATGTGTGGGCTCCTGTTGGCTTGGGAAATCTGGGAATTTAACTTTACATGTCTGGAATGTGTCTGGGTTAGGCTGCATTAGAGGCTTTTAGAAGTACTGCAGTTTTTTGAGATTTCCTATTCATCAGATGAAAACTTTACAAGTGTTGCTAACTACATGGGCTGATTGGGCAATCTAGAACCGAGAATGGAGACAAGGGGGCAAGCCTGTTCCTCTCAGTGTTGTTAAATTAGTATGACGCAGAATTCTTCTGGACTTCTGGCAGCTTACAAGGTAAGTGAGGTCTGGTTCACTGCCTATTTTGGGATGAATACCCTGTAGAAACTCTTGATAACCATCTGTTTCTAGTACTTGCTCATCTGCCCTCCGTTGTGGTTAAGGAAGTTGCCTAAGGTTAAAGAGATTGTGCTATCTAGCCTTGTCAAAATAAGTTGACTCTGTTTCATGTGCCATATTTCAATAAAGCAACAACAATATTATGATGTTAGCTGTACATTCATGAAAAGTTTATCCTTTTACGATATCTTGTCTTCCAATCTGCATTTCTCCTCTGGAAGATTGGAATTATTGGAGGGACAGGTCTGGATGATCCTGAGATACTAGAAGGTCGAGCAGAGAAATACATTGATACGCCATATGGAAAGGTATGTATAGGTAACTAAGCCATTTTTGTTTTGTGTGTAAACAACCCGTCTCTGGGTTAAGAACGCCCGGCTTACGGATGACCCATAGTTAAGAATGGAGTCTATTGTAATAAAATTCGAGTTAAATATACAGTTATTCAAGTTAAGTACACAATGGTTTGAGATCATTACACAATACTACTTATACAGTATTATACAATAATACTGTTCCAGCTTACATACAAATCTGACTTAAGGACAGACCTTGGGAATGGAACTCGTTCTTAAACCGGGGACTGCCTGTATAGTGTGCTAGGGAAAGCCCATGGGAAAGAGCCGTGTTTCCAAGAATGGCCTTTCTTGTGTGTTTCTGTGGGGAAACACCCAGTACCTTAGTAGCTTGACTGGATTTTTAAAATAGCTTGATTAACACTTGGATGGGTTGGAGAAAGATGAGAAAGTCCTCATACAGCAGTGCTGTATAGTTCTCTGAATGATGTCCAGCATATGTTTTTGTGTGCCCAAGTTAATTTGTGATCTCCCGGCAAATGGCTCTGATTCTGTGGCAGCTGGCTGTGGATTCCAGAATTCAAATCTTCTCCTTTTGAAGTTTACATATGGAAGGCTTGTACATACTGTACTGTGTTTATTTAGTGGCACAGATGTATTCACGAAGTGTGATTTCATATGAGTAGGTGTTAGATTTATTAGTCACTGTCGTCTTCATTACTTACAAATATTTCTCGTAGAATCAGAGCTAGTCCGCATCCTGCTGCTTGCTGATGATGCAAAACTGCTCTTCCAGAGATGTTCTGTACTTTGAATTAGTCCTATAGCATTCACTAAGAAGTCCAAGCAGCTGTTATGTAGTCACATCCCAGAATAGCGATTACTTGGTGGTGGCCTGCTGCTATTGATCCTGTAATTGTAATGTTCTAAAGAATGCACAATGTGACTTTGCAGTTCTCTTTTGTATATCAAATTTCAGCTGACAGCAAAGTCCATCAAACCTATTTTTATTTCTACATATGATTTCATGTGTAGGATTCCAGCGCATAATGTATTTCTACTTTGCATTGTCGAAGGGAATTTCCACTTTGATCATGCATTAGTGGCAAATCAGATATTTTAATTTGTTGGTGGAATTTTATGATGCTTCTGTAGTATTTGTTTGTGTATATGTTGTTTTTAATTCCAGCCATCAGATGCACTGATTTCAGGAAAGATAAAAAATGTTGACTGTGTGCTTCTGTCCAGGTATGTGAAATTCCTTTAAAAAATGTGAATTAGATTCGCATTAGAAAATGTGATGTAACATTTGTCATAATCAAGCCAAACCTTCAACCCTGCTAAAGATGCAAATTGCATTGACAGCTATTTGGCAGGTAACTGAGGAGCGCTGGTAGAGTTTCCTTGTGCCATCATCTCCTCTTCTTGTTCCTTAGAGGCCCATCAATCAGGTGATCAGCAGCTGATGAAAGGCACAGCGTGGGTGGTGGGAGGTAGCAACATCCACAGGAGATGGCATAATCACCATGGATTGCCCATGGCTAGGTTGAGGATTATATCAAATACTCATGAAATTCCTCCAAATATAGGATTATATACTTTATTGAATTGATTGAGTCTCTTAACTTGCACTTTTTCATTTTCTCATGAGCTTCCTTGCCTAATGAACTGTGATTTGGAATAGAGAAACCAACGACCCTAAAAAGTCCCTTGTGGGCATAAGCATGATAAAGGCTCCTAATCCAAACACATTTAAAAAAAAACCTAAGATATAAACCAAGAACCTCATGACCTGCAGCTGAGGTCTGACCTAGAGAAAGTTCATCTGGTCTACAAGGTGGGTAACATAGACAGTCTGAAGATTCTGGATTGGCCAGTCGTAATGATACATTCTAGAAGCTTTTCCTTGCTTTCTTGTTTAGTCAAAAAGCTTTTTCCTGTGCTTCAAGTTGTAGCCGTAGCATCAAGCAGTAACAAGTGACCTCAGGGACTCTGACTAGGGGCCACCATGCTTAGATCCCAGTGTGGCTTCTTCTCACTCTGGTATTGGTGTCCAATATTCTCCTCAGTTCACATTTGCATAAGGCGGGAGTAAATTATCTGTAGCTCCAGGGCTGTATTTGACCTTCCAATGAATCTCAGAGCTCCTCAGAAAAGTGCTCTGAGGAACCATTTCCCTAAAGGGAATAATGATACAGTTTCAATGTAATTGCATTTAAATGAAATGAAATAAAATACATATTTTCTGTTCCCACCTAACTTTCTGAATGTGTCTATTGGCCTGGCACTCAAAAAGGCCAGATATGAACCTTCAACCTGAAAAAGATTGAGCATCCTTGGCTTAAATGGGTCAGAGCAAAGCATGATTTATTGTATTGATTCCTGCTTGCAATGCAGATGTATCTGCCCAAGTAGCTTGTCCATTTATTATTCTCCATTTTTATTTTTTGTTTTTTTAGCTTTACCAGATTCCTTCCCTCTTTTCTTTCCCTAGGCATGGGAGACATCATTCTATTATGCCAACAAATATAAATTTCCGTGCCAATATGTGGGCACTAAAGGAAGAAGGTTGCACTCATCTGCTAGTGACTACTGCCTGTGGTTCATTAAGAGAAGAGATTCAGCCAGGAGATCTTGTTATAATTGACCAGTTCATAGACCGGTAAGGGAGAAAATGAGGTTCTGTGTGGAGCTAGAACTAACTAAAGAATTAGGTCTTTAACTGGCAAGAGGTTCTGTTTCCGCAGCATTCTTGCCCAGATACTTTGATATAATTCCAAAAATCAACTTGTATAAAATGCATTAAGCACTATCTTTAATCAGTAATGGCAAGCATGTTGTTTTATTCCAATAAGAGAGCCAACCTCTCATGAAGCAGTAGGTGCAGGAAGAGAAGGAGCAACGGCATGGGATTAAGAAACTGCTGTGCAGTACTCCGTGTCACCTATCCTGCATACCCCACCCCAGAAAAATAACCCCTGTCCCACTGTCTGCGTATTGGAAGACTTCTGTCCTTTTGCAGTGTTGAAAGAAGATTGCACTGCCTGCCTTTTTGTCTTCTGTCAGTCGGGTGGAAGATTACCTTCTTGTCCTCCTTAGAGAATAACATGTCTTGGATAGGCTTATTCTGGTGAGATTCCCCCAGCTCTTCTGCCACGTTTGCAAAAAGGGAAGGTACAGCAAGGGTGGGGAAGCAGGAGACATCTGCGGCTAGGAGGAGGGAGCAGAATGGAGAATAGAGGGGGAGAGGATGGAAGGCTTAAAAAGCATCAAGATATTTTGCATGTATGTCCAAAGTAATTGGGAAATTGACAAGATCCTCTTCTTTTCTTGCAAGCCTAGAGGAGGACGGGAAATTTTTCTGACCTTGCACTGACTCTCTTTAATTTACCGATTTTCAGAGATGTAATGTATAAAGAGTATGACATATAGTGCATGATAATTAAGTGAATCATAAAGAAAATGTGTCAGAGGCCTCTTTCGGCTTAGCTTTAATGTGTGTGATACACAGGAAGAAAAGGTTTCCTACATTTTCTCAGAAAACTGTTTTCTCAGCTAGATTACACCAGCATTTGAGTCACAATACAGGTTATGTATTTTGATCAGTGGATTAAGTTACACTGTACCAGCTCTTGATCTCTTTTTCCTCCCTTTACTTCTGCACAAAAGGAATTACTGTTAGGAGAAAGCAACAGAAAGAAGGAAAAAACAAAATGAAAGGTGCATTTTATTGAGTTGCCAAATTTCATTTATTATTCTGTAGAAACTATGATGGTATTTTTTTAAGGAAACGGGAATGGACCTTAAATGTTCTTATAAAACGAGCTGTGCTATTATAAAAGCCCAGCTCCACAGTCAGTGCTCAGTGTCTGATTTGATCTGCCATTGCCCACAGACCCTGCAGTTCACAGATCTAAATCCATCTGTCATATTTTCTGCATTGTCTCTTCTGAAAGCCACTGAGGCAGCTGGCATCCAAAAACAATCCTTATCACAATGGAGGACACGTGTCTCACTGCAGATGTTCTAGGAATTCAGTGGAATTGACTTCCACTGTTCACAAACTCTTCTTCTGCCACCACTCACCCCTAATCAGGCAAATTGCAGAGTAAGGCAAGTTTCCTCTCAATGCATGGCTATTTGCTCTGAAGTAGGGAAACAAACAGCTGAGTTTCCAACTACCACTGGTCAAATAAATTAGTCCATCTCTCTTCCTTCCCTTTATAGAGTAATATGTAATTTTTAGCAATCCAGCGGTTCTTAAGCTTTTGTATCTAGTTCCACCAGGCACTCTATCAAAGAATCTGAATCCCAACACGAGAGTAACAGAAGGAGCACTTTTTCTAAGAAGGATATTTATATTTTACAGCCCTTTTATCAGTCTTATAATTTGTAATAAGTTTTTAAAACTTAAAATTAGGGTTATTTAGGTAACTTCTGACAACTGAGAACTACTGGTTTAGTCAACTGAAAGAAACAGTCCGTGTCAACAGTTTCAACAGTCAATGGTGAAAAGGAATTCAAGGTGCAGTAGTTGAACAATCTGACTAAGTAAAATTATTTTAAATTGTGATTGTGAACAAAATCAGAGAAGCAGTACAAAGGAAGAAAAACAAGCTTTAGGGTTAGGAATAGAGTTTAAATTAGAGGTATGCAAACAGACTTGTATCAAGATTTACTAGGTTAGCCTTCTTTAACCTGGTGCCCTCCAATTGTGTTGCACCTAAGTCCCATGTTCCCCAAGCAGCATGGAAAAGAAGCTAGCACTTTGGAGGAACAATGGATAAGATAATCAGCAGGATGTTTTGATAGGTCAGAAATGGATGAAGGATGATGTTAATGGCCAAGTCAGATTTCCAGATTTGGGTTGTTCATTTGGAATTACTTTGAATGGTAGCTGTCTTCACCACACCAGTAAGTAAATTTTGCAGGCACAATGGGGAAGAAAAATTGGCGGTAGAGATTAGTTTGAAAAGGTGACATTCATGAACATATAACTAATACATTTCTTTCAGACAACTCTGTGTATTTAAGGTGAAGTTGGCTGAGACTTGGGTTGGAAGGAATGCATGGATTGGGATAGATTTCCCAGGTTTTAAAGTAGCTGGCAGAACTGTTTATAGTGGTTAGGCTTCATATTAATACATTTTTAATCCCATTTCTAGAAGTTACATTTATGATATTCTTTCCTCAACTGCTGCAAAGGCTAAATTTTGATTGAAGTTGATGGGTTCTAATTTAAAGTTACACATCAGTGCAACACCTGTCCAAGCAGAGTTCCTGAGCACATGCAAGCAGTGTGAACTGATTTAAACATAGCTTCAGCCTCTTGAGGATCAGGCCATGACCTGAGCTAATTGATTTCCAGTGTAAATACTAGCTTCTGAAGACGATTGTGATCCAAGAGTAGTTGTAGTCAAATTTGTTTATTGTCACAGCAAGTTTTTTGCAGCTTCATTAATAAAATAAACGTATCACATTAGTTTCCTTACCTCTCTGTAAGCAAGTGTGGCAAAATCTTCACTCCCCCAGTCATGTTCCTTGTCCTCCTTTGATGCCCTCCCTGATGCCCACCCCATGTTAGAACTGCAGTTCACAGAATTCTTAGCCAGCATGGCCATTGGCCAAGAATGCTGGGCGTTACAATCCCACTGGGGTATTCTTTTACCCTGTTGCAAGCCTGCAAATTTCTTGTATGGCCAGGAGTAGCTCAGAACTTTGCAGCAAAGTGATTGAAATGTGTGTCTTACTCATTTAGTAGAATCATTTCCCAGGAGAAAGCCATTTTTTATTGGCAGTAGTGACATACGTTCCCGTTCATTCCCTACAAATTGCATTATGAACGGCCATCTGATGCCTTCCAGATGTTTTGGATTACAGCTTTCCACATTCTTTGCCCTTGGCAGCGCTGACAGGGTTGGTGAGAGTTGAAGTTGTAAAGTCTGGCAGGATTGCATAAAGGCCACATTTAGCTATACTCCCTCGTTTTTTTTTTTTTTTATAATGCATTTGCTATGTGTGTTCACAAATACATCAGCTGAATTTTGCTGACAAAATAGCATTCTTTATGCATTTTTAAGGTATGACACAGTCTATATGCTTTTCTTGCCAGTTCTGGTTTACAAATTGAGAAGTATTTTATTCCTTCCCATCCTTTTACATCTGGTCTTCTAGATGAATCATAGTTTAGCATTAAGAGTATGGTCTCTTTTCTGTTTAAGGCTTCTTTCCAAATGTCTGTCCAAATATGTTTCATTTTTTTTCCCTAGAACAAACTGTAATCCTGTTAATGTGGTTATCCAGTAAAATGTATGGGAAGAAGCAGAGCAATCATTACAATTTTCCTAATTGGGAGGATGTAGGCTTCTGATTTTTAAAAAATCTTTTATTTCTATCAGCGTCTGGTTTCTATCAGTGATCTGGTTTCATTTGCCTATGGCAATATTGTTTCTTCTAACAAAGTATACTTTAGCAGACCAACATTATTTGTTCCCTTGTACAGTGCAATAGTTGCTGTGAAAGCTTTCATGTAGTATAAGGGCTTGAGTTGTTAAAAATTGCAGAATGAATAAATGAAGAGTAACATTGGTGCTGCCAGCATTTACATTATGGCATACTGGCAATCCTTATGTTGTTTTCTCTGATTAGTGTTTTTTTTTTCCTTAGGACAACAAAAAGGCATCTCACTTTCTATGACGGGACTTATTCCTGCCTTCCAGGAGTGTGCCACGTTTCTATGGCGGAACCTTTCTGTGCCAAAACTAGAAAAGTTCGTAGACCTTATCTTACTGAAGACAGTTTATATATCTAGGATCCAATCTGTGATTGAATAGAAAGTATTTTCCCACCATTCCCATTTTCCTACCATTCAGTTATTAACAAATGCAGCTAGATGGATACTAAA